TAAACTACAAGTCCCACAAGCCCCTGCTCCCGAGTCCCTCGGCGAAACCAACCCGAGGACTACAGTTCCCAGAGTGCTCTTCGGCCTTACAGTTTGCGGGCGAGGAAGTGGCCGTTTCTCTTCGCCGTTTTGCCTCGCGGTGGCCGTTGCTTGCTTGCCTGCCGCTCCTCCTCCCGTCGACCCACGTGGGCAGAAAACGGCGCCGGGACTCGGGACGCAGCGAGGCGGCCGGGCTTCCCCACTGTGCTCTCCCTTCATGTCTGGGACGGTGGTGGAGGCTGTCCGGGGCAAAGCAGCTGCCGCTCAGCTGCTGTCTTTTAGCGGGCTCTTCGCCGTGTATAAGGCAAAGGGATGCACCTCAGCCGCTGCGCTGAACCGGCTTAGGGCGAAGCTGTTGGCAGGTACCACTGAAGGGGGAGAGCAGAAAGTCCAGGGAAGGAGGGGGAGTCTGGGCCAGAGGTGGGGAGCCTGCGGCCCTCCCGAGACGACCAGGCTCTTCTCAACTCAGCAGCCTGCGCGGCGGCCGACAGGTTGCGGAGCAACATCTGGAAGGCCTCAGGTTCCTCATCTAGGCAGGTCCTAAGGCAGGCATAGGCAAACTCGGCCCTCCAAATATTTTGGGACTACAACTCCCATCATCCCTGACCACTGGTCCTGTTAGCTAAGGAGTTGTACAGTGGTACCTCGGGTTACAGACGCTTCAGGTTACAGACTCCGCTAACCCAGAAATAGAACCTTGGGTTAAGAACTTTGCTTCAGGGTGAGAACAGAAATCGCACAGCGGTGGCAGCAGCAGGAGGCTCCATTAGCTAAAGTGGTACCTCAGGTTTAAGAACAGTTTTGGGTTAAGAACGGACCTCCAGAACAAATTAAGTTCTTAACCAGAGGTACCACTGTAGTCCCAGAACATCTGGAGGGCCAAGTTTGCCTATGCCTGCCTAAGGTGTGTGAGGAAGTAGTGGAGTTTAGTTGACTCGGAGACTCTGAATGCTGCACAACCCTTTTTTTCATTATTTCCTCAGCGCCGAATTTATGTGTAAGCTAAACAACTGTCCGCAGACACTTCCGGGTCACGTGGCCAGCGTGACAAGCTGCATCTGGCGAGCCAGCGCAACACACGGAACGCCGTTTACCTTCCCGCTAGTAAGCGGTCCCTATTTATCTACTTGCACCCGGGGGTGCTTTCGAACTGCTAGGTTGGCAGGCGCTGGGACCGAAAGACGGGAGCGCACCCCGCCGCGGGGATTCGAACCGCCGACCTTTCGATCGGCAAGTCCTAGGCGCTGAGGCTTTAACCCACAGCGCCACCCGCGTCTAAGATATAGCTTAGGGCGCCCCAAAAAATTTAAAGGACAAAAAACCCCTGGATGTACATTTCCAAAATATAAGATAAAGAACAAATAAATAAAACCTACATACAGCAACAGTGTTTTGTGTTGTATAGGCTCCTATGATGTAAGTAATGGGCCCCACCTGCCAGCCTGCTCCCTAAAATATCCCTGGTTTGCTCATTTCTATATGTAGGATGCCTACATTCTGCATGGACTGGTTGCATGGCAACATGTGCAAATGGTTTTAGATACCTATTAGGTCCATAAATTACCATATAGCATATATTCAACACAAAAAACAGTGACAATTTGTTGTTGACAAAGGACAGCTGGACATGTAAAGGGCCCCATTACCTTCAGTAGCTTAGGGCCTCATCAAACCTAAATCTGGCACTGTTTTCTATACACAGTGGTGCACTTTGGTCATTTTAGGCATTGGACAGTGGGTATTGCTTCCCTTCAGGTAGTGCTCATTTCTTGCCCGCTCCCCACCTCCATCCACCTAATTGCATTCTTTACAACTGCTTCATTCCTACACTGGATAATAATAATAATAATAATAATAATAATAATAATAATAATAGCAGTAGTAGCAACAGCTTGGCAACCCAGATAATTACAAAGAAAGACCCTGATAATGTGTAGTTTCCTGTCTTAATCTCTTTCATCCACTTCTGTCTTAAGCTCTTCTAAATGGTGTTTGTTCATGTATTTTCATTTTCACGATAACAGATTGCGATGGTGGATTTTTCGTTTCTTTTTCTGCCACATCTGTAATACAGATTTCCAGAGTAACTATGGCATCCCTTCAAAGGAAAACCCAGTGGTTTGTTGTTGTTGTTTTTTGTCATTGATAACTTTCAAAAGAACAATAGTCTTTGATTCCCACCCCACAGCTGTTGGCGGGGGCAGTGATCTGCCCATCACATTTGGTCTCCCCTCCTGCCGTCTATCTGCTATTCTCAACACTACCTCCTGGGGGAAAAACTAAAAGCTTTTTTTGTAGGGGTTCTTTGATGGTGTGGAACTGGAGGCGAGGGAACACACCAGGACACAGTGTGGAGTACACCAAATGCTGGTCTGATCCTGCTGGCATACCAGTGTCTTTGCTGAGCATGTTCAAGTTCTGGTTGGCTTTGGCCTGCCACCTCTTTGCTCCTCCCATGATGCAGTCAGTAACCAGCCTCAAACAAGGGGACTGAGGTATGGAGCACTAGAAAAAACAATCATGCTGGGTGTTGTACTGATACCTACCTGTTTCCCACCTATCTTGTCCATAGCGATGTGGTGCCTTGGACTTGGGCCCAAATTCTGCGGGTTCCATTGTCTTTGCAAACAGGTGCAAAGAACAAATGTCTCCACACTTTATCTGATCTTCCAGCATAATCCATGGAAGTCTGACTTGATGGATAGCATTCTCACTTCACATTTATGTCAAGAGTGCTGATATGGTTCTCCTGTTGCAATTAACCCAAGATGCAGAAAGGAGTTACCGTATTTTTCGCTCTATAACACGCACCCGACCATAACACGCACATAGTTTTTAGAGGAGGAAAATCCGTAGGCATGCCACCCGTAGGCATTCCCTCCATAACACGCACAGACATTTCCCCTTACTTTTAGGAGGAAAAAAGTGAGTGTAATGGTGCAAAAAATACGGTATGTATCTGTGGCATGCCTTTAAAAAGCATCCCAAACCTTCTTTTCTAACCAAATGATTGTGTAGCTTCTGAGGTTTTTTTTAATATTGTCAACATGCCTAATTTGGAGCTGAATTTGGGGGTTCTAGAGTTGGGACCATTTGTATCTTTGCATGAGTATGTAACGTGGAAAACTTTTATTTGGATGTTCCTGTTGAGGGAAAGGCAAGAGCTTGGATATGTCCTAAAATATCCAAATAGTGGATGCTGTGTAAGTGTTCTCCAATGAGAAGCCAGTTTTTGTAGGGACATGGCCACTAGTCATATGAGTTGCCTTGCTGGAAAGAGAAAGTTACCAACATATTTTGGCAAAATTTATGAATTATTTGCAATCTAGCTTTGTTTCTGGATTTACCACCATTTCTGAGCACTAAGTTTTTTTGCATGTACTGGGCCCATTGATTTAAATGGGGATGGTAAGCAGGTGCTCACCCTCAGTTTGTAGGAAATAAAAAATGGACCAATAGCAGGTAATAGTTAACAGCAGTTTATTATTGGCTTCTATGAAGTATTCATTACTAAAGCACAAATTCAATTTCACTTATTCAATTTCAGATGCATCGGTTTTTGTTGTGATTATTTTATTGGATAATATACTGCTTAATCCCCTGCCAACCTAGCAGTTCAAAAGCACGTCAAAGTGCAAGTAGATAAATAGGTACCGCTCCGGCGGGAAGGTAAACGGCATTTCCGTGCGCTGCTCTGGTTCGCCAGAAGCGGCTTAGTCATGCTGGCCACATGACCCAGAAGCTGTACGCCGGCTCCCTCGGCCAATAAAGCAAGATGAGCGCTGCAATCCCAAAGTCGGTCATGACTGGACCTAATGGTCAGGGGTCCCTTTACCTTTATGCTGCTTAATGGCCAAGCGGGTTGCTAAGTGGTTTACAAATTATAAAAGCCAAATACACAAAAACCAATTTAAAAACAAGATTAAAATACACAACAAAGCAGTATCATAAAAAAGGAGATCCAGGTCATGTTGTTGTTGTTTAGTCGTTTAGTCGTGTCCGACTCTTCGTGACCCCATGGACCAGAGCACGCCAAGCATGGGATCAGGAAAATGCTTGTGTAAACAAGAGCCAGTGGAATGTCAGTATAGGTGGCCTCTGTATTTTGCCTTTTTTCCAATGCATTTGGAGCAGGGTTTTAAACACACAGCAATTAAAAAAACCCACACACAGGGACTTGGTTAAGGTTTGTACCTGGGTTTTGCACCTGTAGATCTGCTTCAGATCCACCTTTCCCAGCTTGGTACCCTCCTGGTGTTCTGAACTACAATTTCAGTACTATGCTGGCAGTGGCCAATAGGAGCTGTAATCCAAAACAGCTGGAGGGTACCAGGTTGGAGGAAACTGGGTTAGCTACTGCATCCCCTGACTTGAGCACCACATTGCCATCTGCTCGCAACCTTGTAGCTGGGAATGCAAGTGCAGGCAGGGCTTTCACAGTGTTATCTACAGAACAGCATGCAATCTCATATCGTTTCTTTACATAGCCAGCAAGGGACTTGGTTGTGCATGTAGTCTGCTGGATCCAAGCCATTATATGTAATTAAATGTTGGAAACATATTGAGAGACTGCTGTGCACTGTTGACAACATTGGAAAAATTCTGTGACTGTTGCTAGTTATGGTTTTATTACTGTAACAAATCAGTAAATGTGATGCTTCTTGTACGTTGTTGGGGAAAATAATGCACCCTGTCCGTTAACTATTAAAATTATTAATTATCTGATGCCAGCTTATGGTAGATATGAGAACAAGCTCTAGGTATGCTATTCGTTTTATGATACGACAAATCCTAGGATTCTGATTCACAATTTTCCTCCCTCCTTGGGATTAAACTGTTTCCATTAAATTAGTTGTGTCACTTTGGTACCTTTCAATGTGAATGGCAGATTTATGTGCCTTGTTTGTTATTTTTATGAAGTTCTATGAAGCTTTTTATCCTTTGGGATCTTATTTTTTCAGAAGCCGGTATGCCAAAGCTTAGTAGAAGGAAGAAGAATAAAATGTTAAAGATTGGACATGGTGGGATTCTGGATAGCAGTGCTGCAGGAGTGTTAGGTAATTTGCATATTAGCAGTCATTTATTTATTTGAAATGTCCCTAGAGAACTCTCTCCCACTGAAGATAACTTGTCTGCCACATTAGCAGCTTTTCCATGTGAAATTTTTCTTCAGTCCTGTGCAGATGGCTGGTTTAAATAGCTGGTTCCTCTGCTCCTGGACTGCCATTTTATGATGTCCATTGATTTTATGGTTTTTATGTTATATTTTCTGAGGTTCTGCCATCATACAAGCTAGTCCAGCTGTGGTTTGTTTACCTGTTCACTCCAAAGCAGAAGTGCTTGGACTGAGTACACCAGCCTGCAGCTTGTGCCCAGTACAAAAGCATACTTTAAGGCCTAGCATTACATCTGAAGCCAGCTTTTAAGTTCCCAAGGTGGGTTGCAACATTATGCAACATTAAAAACAGCTTAAAACAACAATAATAGAAATAAAGCAGGTCCTTTTTTCTGTTATTGTAAACTGGGCAAATAAACTGAATTACCGTATTTTGTCTTTGCTGGCATTCCTTTTTTAAGCCACTGAAGTTGGAGAAATGAGTACTGCTTGCTTAGTCATAAATACTGCAGACTCTTTAAAATAGTTCGGAAGGACCCCAATGTAGATTGATGGTCCTTTTAGTAATACATTGCACTTATGTGCATTGCTTCTTGATGCACCATACCCCACCCCACCCTGACATACTGGAAAAATGAAAAGCACCAGAGTATTTTTCCCCCTCCTAAAATTTCTTCTGTCATCGTTTTCAATCGATTGACCCTGTTAATGGAAAGTGTCAGAATTGCGTGAAATAATATTTGTTACTGGCATGATGTTTTACAGACAGCAGTAGTGAATACAGAGGTGACAGGGGCAGTTGTTGAAGTAATGTTTCTCTTTGTTAACAGTGGTTGGCATTGGAAAAGGAACTAAAATGCTGAGCAGCTTGCTGGCAGGTTCTAAGGTAAGGAAAAATGGGGTACTTCATGTTTTCTGCATGGTTTCCACCTTAAGTGAATAAACTAACTATGAATAGGGAGGTGAGGGCAGACACTATTTTCAGATAGCAAAGACTGGGAATCACACTGATCTTTAAATTGCTTTGACAAAACAAGTCTGTCTAAAAGAAGTGAGGCCTTGAGGCTTAACCTACATTGGAATCCTGGCTGTGCACATTCTGGTTAATTCTTTAACGGTTAATGCTTCCTTGGCTTGGATCCTAATATAACGTAAGGAAGTTCACAGCGGGAAAGTCTCCTGTCACTTCCTTCCCTTCTGCACCACTCCATGCTCCATTCCATGCTGTTTGTGATGCTCCCCCAACCTTCTGAGATGTTTTTTAGGGGAAGGAGAAGATGTGAAACTGCTTCCATTAACTTATTTTACGTCAAAATATCTGATAGGAAGCCCATAAGAAAAGGCAGCAACAGAGGTTGTTCCGCTAGGGTGGATTGCGGCACTGCCCCACTAACTTCAACCGGCCATTAGCCAGCCTCTCCCCCGGCTTAATTTCTCACTTGCATTCAGTCCAGGGGGAGCAGTGTCTTATCGACTTCTCCTTTCTTAGCCTCGGTGTTGCCCTTGTAGAACGGAGCAGGGAGGAGGATGAGGCAAAACTGGAATGAGTTGGCCCTGCCTTTCATTGGTTCTGACTCTGCCTCCTGTTGACCTTGCTGACTTCCACTCTGCCAACCCCAGTAGATGCTAGGCACCACTTCTTGAGTGGAATTCTGTATGTAGCTGATGATCTGTGGTATGGAAGCTTTTCAGCTTCGTATTCACTGTTGGCAGTAGCCATAAACTTGCAGGGTGCAGAAATAGTGCAATTAATGTGCATAATGTGTCAAGGGAGGAAAAGCATAACATAATGTAATCTGCATGAACACGCTGGACGCAGCTGGAGGACATGTTACACTTCCTCTTTGATACAGCGTATGAAATTTCTGGTGTGAGATTAGAAATGGCAGTTCCTTGGTTGTTTTGGAAATTATGCTTGGTTAATTGAGATCTCAATTTATACACACTGGTGAGTTTTAATACTTACCCGCAAAATATATGTACTGACAAAAGAGAGAGCTTAGTCCTCCAGGGCTCAAGAAATAAAATTAGAACTTGGTGATCATTGGGGGTTGTATCCCACATACTGCTAAGTGAAAGAGAATTAGCACTGAACTTGTTTCACTAGAGGGTCATCTTGTGAAAGAGGTTCCACAACCAGATAGCTTTGTATATAGAGAGGATAGGAGCATAAAAAGGTAGTTTAATGAGACTTCAAACTCGCACAAGCTCTTGCACAATGGCTCCATCAGTGCTTTTGCTGTGTTGGATTCATCTGCCCAGCATGGAGAAATGGACCTGTTCAAGCACAGGGCTTGCTGAATGACAGTGTTGGATGCAACAGCTCAGCTTCAAAAGTGAAGCAAAGAGCCACTTAACTTTGAACTCCTACACTATCATCTTGCACAGATCTGCTTGGAAGTAAGTGGATGATGTTGGGTGTTTCAGCCCTAAAGGTGATCTGTTTATTAAAATTCACCTTTGTTGAAGCTGGCTAGTAAATATGCTTTCTGGCTCTGGAGAGGAGGTGCAAATAGTTGTTAAGATGCTTTAATTGCTGCTGAATAGTTTGAAATGCTCTTAGCTTCCATTTCCCAAATTTATTATCCCAGGACACCTGTTTACCTATTTTTCTGGTGTGGCCCTATATTCTCTGACAACAGAGATACCTCATATCTGGCAAAACTAGCTGTTGTCAGTGTTAGCTATGACTAGATACAGTGGTGCAGACTTCTGCTACTTCATCTGTGTGGATTCATTTGATTGCATTGTGCATTATCCAGTTGTAGCTTCTTCCATATAGCAGTAGTTCTACTTCCCTCAAGTAGGTCAGACGAGAGTGATTTCACTTTCCCCTGGGAATGAGAGGCTCAGTGTGAGTAATCTGTACTGTGATCTCCAATGCGCTAACTAGTTGAAAATCCGCTCTTTTAAAATGGGCTCTCCTAGGCTAGCTGTTTTTTATCTGAATCCCCAGGAGCTTCACTGACTTGCAGAAGATTAGAATTGACTCCCCTGCATTAATTGCAGCTTCTTGTTTAAGCGATAGGTGAATGAGCGTTTGATCTCAAAGGTTGTCATCTCTCCAGAGAGAACCGTTATCAAAATGTCACCCGGATAACATCAAATCCAGGCTCCCAGTGGCCTCAGAGGTTAGGGAGGAAAAAGATGAACAGAACAAGGGGTTTACTGAGCTTGCCGTGGTCTTGAACAACTCAGATATTTTTTAATAGTCAGTTGAATTTCCCAGGGATCCCCAAATGGGTAATGGAAGCCACTTTAATTAGTTGTCTGAAATGGAACTGTTCTGTTTTACTCTGACACAAGCTTGCTGTCAGAGGGGCTCGAGGAACATAATGGCTAATTTCCCTCTAGACTGAGACTATTGCTGGCTTATAAGTTTCTTGTGGTGTCCTTCCCTGGTTGCTTTTTTCCCTTTGCCTTTTTTAGAAGCAGAATTCACCTAACACCCCGTGACAGGTAGTGCATGCATTTTGTACTCAGGTACACAGAAAGATTAGAATTAATCCAAAGGTCAAAGAGCTATTTTTCACAAGACATTTAAACTGGTGTGGCAAAATCAGCTTGGATGCTGCATGGAAGTAGAGACTTAAATGATGAGCAACTTTCTGGTTGGCAATCTTGACTTTGTATGAATCCCATTCACATCCCAAGGTACCACTGTAATGAATGTCTGATGTTTTTAAATTTTCTTTTTGTTTCCTATTCCATTACAGCGGGAATTTAGTATCTGGAACAGGGGTGGGGAACCAGTGGTCCTTCAGATGTTGTTAAACTTCATCTCGCATAAGTCCTAACTGGCATGGCCAACAGTGAAGGCTCCTCTTTGGAGCAAAGTGGAATATAGCCCATCTAAGATTCTGAGCCCCTCAGACCTCGAAATCTATTGTCTAGGCTTTCTCCTGTCATCCACAGTCATTATTAACATATTTCCACTGACTGAGAGGCTTCCTAGATGCTTCTGCCCACCTCATCTGTCTAGCCAGTCAAAATAATTACTACCAGCAAGTCCCACCTCTGACTTCACAACTCTCTCCCATAGAATGCCTTGAGTCGGGCAGTGGATTCTGTGGGTGTAGATTGCCCTTCTAAACCAAGGTTAGAGACGTTTCAGTTTAGTTAGCCAATGTTTCTCAAACTTGGGTCTCCAGTTTCTGTTAGACTACATCTCCCATCATCCCTGACCACTGGTCCTGCTAGCTAGGATGATGGGAATTGCAGTACAACAATAGCTGGGAACCCAACATTGAAAAACACTGAGTTAGGCGCTAAGTTCTTATACAATTGCAATTCTTTTGTGTCCATGCCTTTGCAGGGGGGAGAATGGGAAGAAAACCAGAACAAATTTGGCCCTACCCATGTTCCCACCCATGTTACCTTATTGGCCCTGCCTACATAACCTTGGCTGCCCCCACCAGGTCCAGGAGCTATCAGCCACCACTAATGACCATCTGGAGAGGCACTGGTTCCTCACTCCTGATCTAGAGCTATGGGAGCCTGTAGCTCAGTAGACAGGTTTGTGTGTCTCCCACAAGACCTTCAGGAAATAGATCCATGCTTATGAAATAGGATTGCTATGGAAGGGGACACTTCTATAGTGCCTGTTGTATATTGAATGGGAGTAACTGGTAAGAGTTAGTAATGCATTTGATGGCTTCCTCTAAAAAAAATTATGTTGCTTTCGGTGATTGCTAGCTTTTGGTATTCTTCTGGACACAGTGCATATGCAGGGATGTTCACTTTTGCTAACCATTCTTAACACAATCAGCTATTTGTTCTAATGGAAATGCTAATTGATGGCAAAGATGTATATTTTAGAAAGAGGCAGTTTTACTGATGCTTGGGCAAAGCAGTCTTTCCTGGAACCCATTAAGCACCTGTAGTGTGCAAGTAATTATTGTAAATGATGATAAACAATTTCAAATTAGATCTGAGTTTGCATGAATGTATTTAAACAAGTCTGCAGAATAGCTTTGCTAAACAAATTAAGATTTAAGGATACTTTATCTGGGTGACTTGCTGCTCTGTGGTATGTAAAGCTGAATTAGCCTTTCTCCCCCTCCTTATTGCACTCAGTGCTCTATTTTCAGGCCTGTTCAGCTGATGGTTAAATCTTCCCATAAGGAGTGAGATTTATGATCATGCTGCCTGCTGATAGTCTTTTACAAATGACAGCAGCTGACAGAGAGTTGTTTCTGTAGTGTTAGTTTGGTGATGGTTCAATTTGTTCATACAAGTCATTGTCCACTGTTGCAGTCATCAAGGGATAATACACATGCATATGTGCACAAATCATAAAAGTACCATTATCCGTTGGTTATCTAGGAGGAATACTGATGCCATGACTTACAAACAAAAAGCATTCAGGTTGCGAACCCATACACATTTTCCTTGGAATAAGCACCATTAAAAAACACTGAGACATAATTCTGAATAAACATGGATAGCTACTTGTCAAGCTACTTTTATTGGTGCTGCTATGATAAAGCAAACTGGAATCACTTTCATGTTGTTAACAATGGAGCTCATTGTAGGCACAGGGATCAAATGGGAACAGGCTTCTGGGTTTGGAAAGATTGGTTCCGGAAAACCTGGAATTTTGTATAGCAGGTGTAGGGTGATACAAAAACCGTGAAGATCCCCCATGGTCCACTGATGTTTTCAAAGCAAGGAGCAGCTAATACGCATTAAGTGAATGTTCATTCTTGCTTAAAAATGTATGACATGCTCTGCTGAATCACATCAAATTCTACGTAGACCAGCATCCTTTGCAAAATACATAGCACTAAGTGGTCCACCAGAAGTTGGCCCAATGGCCTATTCATGGACCACAACCTATATTGACTCTGCTTTGGAGTCACAAAGCTTTCGTACATGTAAGGTTTCAAAAGCTATAGAACACATTATAATTGCCACAGAAATACCTCCAAAAAACATCCTTCCTATAGCAATTCATTTTTTGCTCTGTCAATAGTGTTGAGAAATTTGGAATTCACATCCTTCACTAAACGTATTTTCATTCACTGGAAGGGCAAGATACAAATTTACTAAACAGATTAACAGAGGTTCTGTTAACACAGAGAAAGAGAGACACCATGCAGATGCAATAGCAAACCATAGTTTTCTCTTACATGTACAAATGGCGGCAAACTTTGAGTTTGTGTATGTGAAGAGAGTATGTGAAGTCAGTAGATTAGAATATTTCCACATTAGGGTAGCAACAACAATAACTTGCCATTGTATCTGAATGTGGCAGCTTATGGTTTGCTGCTTATAAGCCAGGTTCTCAGAACTAAAGTCCAGATCCTAATTTGTCATTAAATAAGGATCAATAATTCAGGTGCTTATTACTTCCCCCTCATACAGGAGAAGGGAGGTTCACCTCCATTAATGCATGTCATGGAAAACCATGGTTTGTTGCATCTCAGTGTAGTTTTTGTAGCATTAATTCTTGGCATTCATCTGTCTTGAGAGACAATGGAGTGCACCTCCAGGAGTGAAGTCAAACCCTTGCTTTAGCAGCATTGAAGTGACCCCACTGAGGTGCAAACCTGGGCAGTGTGTATGGAGGTCCTGGGCTGCCCAGATGACAAGACACCCCTCTCGGCCTCTCTGATGTGGTACGGAAAGCAGAGCAATATGTTTGGTATCAACTAGGCTGCCAAAGTTGCCAGAAGAAAATGTACAAGATGCCATCCAACCATCTGAGGGACTCCACTCCAAGTTTGTGTAGGGCTTTACTCCGTAGCCTTTTCTTCTCCTGAAATTTCCTGCAAAGCAGCAGAAGTTTAGGATCAGAGTTTTCCCTCTCCTAGATGGGATACCTTACCACGTTGATGAGCCCCATTTGCCACTGTCATGGGTTATAAACAAAGGAATAAGTGTATTGGATAGATCCAGGTCTAGTTCTCACACTGCTGCAATTTTAGCATGCTGTCATCGTGCTAAAAATCTAGTAAGAGTTTATCTGTTTAATAGCATAAATAATAATAAAAACTTTACTAATAGTATAAATTAAAATGTTCAGGTTCATATTATTCTCACACAGTTGTTGTGCTCAAGCTTTCCAATGTCCTAAGGATATGAACATCTTGGATCCAGTGCAATTATCTGCAAATTTTCCTGTTAAATATTAAGGACTCGCCTGCCTCACTGGAAGTCAGGTCACCCTGTGAGTTAATCTAGTCACAAAGTAGAGGTGGATATACAGGGTCAAATGATCCAGCTACACTTGTAGTTCTTTAGCAGTGACAGAACAATTACAGCATCTTGCAGTAAAAGAAATTTAGTGCAGTGTTAGTACAAAGTCAGCTTTTTCTCTCCAGGGAAAAATTATTCTAGAAGAGAGTTGTAATGTTTCTTGGTATTAAGACATCATGTTGACTATTCGTTAAATTTAAATTTGCTCCGTTGTCTATAACCTGCTCTTGGCTTTAAAGTTTTACTCTTTGGGTTTGACTTGCTGGATGCTTCTATTTTCATTATCTAATCTTCATTAAAAAAAAACACTTTAATGGTGTTATTGAGATGGAATGATGTCTGTAGTCTTCCTTTTCATATCTTATGCAGAGAGGGGGCTTTATTTTGAGTTTGTGTTACAGTATCTTGGATAAGAGAACAGAGGCATAATAATATAACACACTTATTATTTAGGAGTAAATGATATTTTTGTGGGATAAATAAATCATCCTGCAATCATATACTTTGTCCATAATCACTTGCTTATGTAGTGTAGATGGAGGATAATCTAACACCACACGTGAGCTTGTCCTTTTCTGAGAATTTATAGCTATGCTGGATCCCCAAACTCATTGGTTCATCACGGGTTTAATAAGCCTTTGGTTAATTGGTGCTGCTCAGAGATACTTTCTGTTAAGTTGTGGGCGAACATGTCAGACGACACAGCGATTCTTTAAACAGCTCTTCTTTATTCAGATGCCAGAACAGAACTAGCTGAGGAGCTCAGTCAGCCTGCTTATATAGAGCTCCAGAACAATGCAACTGTTGCCATTTTCTAAAACTATCCAATCACTGAACGTCACTTTTTGATCCTTCATTTGAATACAAAACTATCCAATCACTGAACGTCACTTTCCGATCCTTCATTTGCATAACTATCTACATTATCCCCCTGCTGGCCCAGGGTGAGAACTTCAGTACATAACACTTTCTAAGCAGCTGTACTACATAGTCCAGGAAAGCCCCCCTAATATACCTTGCAATGCTGAGAGGCAACTCTTGGATCTCACTCTCTCTTTTTTTAATCACCAGCATCCCTAAAAACAATGCTGATCTAGGGAACAGTCTGGGTTGCTTTAGCAGTTGGGGGCAGGTGGTTAATTTTCTCGTTAATTGTTTGTTGTTGTTTAGTTGTTTAGTCGTGTCCGACTCTTCGTGACCCCATGGACCAGAGCACGCCAGGCACCTCTGTCCTCCACTACCTCCCACAGTTTGGTCAAACTCATGCTGGTAACTTCAAAAACACTATCCAACCATCTCGTCCTCTGTCGCCCCCTTCTCCTTGTGCCCTCCATCTTTCCCAGCATCAGTGTCTTCTCCAGGGAGTCTTCTCTACTCATGAGGTGGCCAAAGTACTGGAGCCTCAGCTTCACGATCTGTCCTTCCAGTGAGCACTCAGGGCTGATTTCCTTAAGAATGGATGCGTTTGATCTTCTTGCAGTCCATGGGACTCTCAAGAGTCTCCTCCAGCACCATAATTCAAAAGAATCAATTCTTCGGCGATCAGCCTTCTTTATGGTCCAGCTCTCACTTCCATACATCACTACTGGGAAAACCATGGCTTTAACTACACTAGCTTAATTGTTACTTGCTAGTGACTGAGATCTTGTGTTCATAAAATCTAAGGTCACACCTGATTATATTCAATGCAAGCCCGAGTAAGATTATGATGGAAGTATGTAAAATTCTGAACCATGGCTAGGTAATCTAATCGTTTTCTGTGCTCTGATTCCATGATTCATTGCAGGGGCAGGAACTCTGAGCACATGGAGTTCTTGTGTGTGTATCATGAACTTTTCCATCTTCAGACATGAATTATACCTAAACATCCCTCTTAATTCTGTAGCTTAAATATGCTTGCTTAGGCATCAGAGCAGCATTTTGACTATTCATTAACCAATGCATTATTGGGAAATCTTATTTACTATCTTATTTACTTCAAATATGCTTGTTCTTGCTTTCCCTGTTTTCCTAATGATGGGAACTGCATGTTTAGCAGCAGCTAGGACTATCTTAGCATACCTCATCTTGCATGAGGGTTTGGTTCCAAGGGTTACATGTATACATGGAAAGCAGATATAACAAACGCCTGGAGCCTCCCACAAAGCCAGCCTGACTTCTATAAGGTAGCCGATAAGGAAGAGAGCATCCCCAGTGCTCCCACTGGGCCTTGCTCAGCAGGGTAGACTGAGAGCTTAAAAGGTTTTCATGCCAGGTCTGCTTGGGGTTACCCAATGCAAAAAGAGGTTTTAAGCTCTTGGCCTTGACTCTTGGGCGGAGCCTGCTCAGCATGCCAGCTCTGGGAGGGTTAGGGATGCTTTTGCAAGATCTTGCAGAACAATCTGACTTCCTGGGAGATCTCGTGAGTGTATCCTCACCACTGCTAGAGCTGGCACTTAGCAGGCCTTGCCTGGAAGCAAAGTAAGAGAACTTAAAAGCTCTATTCGCACTATGTCTGCTTGAGGCTACCTTCATGCTACACTTGCAAGGGTTTGGGGTGGAATTTGCACGCCCAGCATCAGAACCAACACATCGAGTTCTGTTCCTCTACCTGCTTTGGTTTTCATGTATTCAGCCGAATGCCTAGGCTACACTTGTGTACATAAATGTGCACACACACACATACACACATGCATATACTTACTAAAATTGTGATGCAAAATCTTTTTGTGTGTCTTGATTCTAAATACGTAGTAAGCTTTTGTAAAAAAAAAAAAAGGCAAATGTGGCAAGCGGTGCTCAGTTTGACTGAAAGCTCTGTGCCTCAGTTTCAATTTAGAGATAATATTCTTCCACTTTTCCTTGTCTGTATTGCTGCCTGTGCTGTTTCCTTTTCTCTTTCCAGAGGTGATGGCATTCACAAAGGGAACTGAAGTCATCTCCTTCTTTCTCTCAGTTTTTTCTTTTTTATAATCTGATTTTATAGCATTGTGCAATCCTTCTTGATGACAGGCTCACCAACGCTGACTGAGTGCATTCCTGTGTTATATCTACCCTTGATTTCACTAAAATATTCTAACATTTAGTATTCTTTCATGGGTGTGACTTACACTTTTTATAATATCCAGTTAGTATACTTCTGTTTTTATGAGTACTCTAAATCAGAATGGGAATGTGCATGTACAGGAATAGATTTGTTCATCTCCATAATTGTTTCTTTTTTTCTGAATTGTCTAGCTTGGTGGCATGGTATAAACTCAAGATGCTGGTGATATTTTTCATTAAACCTCTGTTGCCCTCCACTCCGTGTTTCACACTAATTATTTTCTTCCCTTACAGAAATACACAGCTGTTGGGGAATTGGGAAAGGCAACTGACACATTTGATTCTACAGGCAAAGTAACAGAAGAAAAACCTTACGGTAAAGAATCACATAACGTGTTCTGTTCTGACAGTTTGACTGCAGTGCTTTGTTTAGATTGCAGCAAAGATAATAATAATAATAATAATAATAATAATAATAATAATAATAATAAATTTTATTTATATCCCGCCCTCCCCAGCCGAAGCTGGGCTCAGGGCGGCTAACAACAATCAAAATAATCCAACATTCTAAAAACATTCATTATAAAATTAATTAAAATCAAATTAATGGCAACCATTAAGCAACATTCTGTGCAGATTGCCAGAGGAGGGGGTCAGGCTGCGCCCTGATCAAAGGCCTGGTGGAACAGCTCTGTCTTGCAGGCCCTGCGGAAAGATGTCAGGTCCTGCAGGGCCCTAGTCTCTTGTGTCAGAGCGTTCCACCAGATTGGAGCCGCAGCCGAGAAAGCCCTGGCTCTAGTTGAGGCCAGCCTAACCTCTCTGTGGCCTGGGATCTTCAGGATGTTTTTATTTGCAGACCGTAAATTTCTCTGTGGGTGTCAGGCTCAGGTTTGTAGCTTATTTTTAAAGGAATTTTGTTAGTCTAGCTGACAGATTAAATGGTTTGCAACATCTTGGAAATGGGGATTCTTTGTTAGCTTTTAAGATGACTTCTGAGAAACTGAACTCAACACTTGAAGGTCATATAAATCCACAGACCCCTAGTTACTGAGCGCATCACTGTAATTAATCAGCAGGCATTTAGGAACTGTAACTCTGCATATGTTAGACTCCAGCTCCCAATATGCCTGACTGTTGGCTATACTTACTAGGTCTAATGGGAGATGTGGCCCTCCAGATGTTGAACTCCCCAGTTTCCCATCCCTGGCTTTAGTTGCTTAGCTTCCATTTCAGCTTGGTCCGTTCCCAGAAACCACCAGTGGATTGTGATTGATATTGCTTCTTTTTTAGATGAGGAGTTGGAAGGACCCTAGCTCACTGATAGAGTGCATGCAAAGGCTCAGTCCCTGGTATCTGAGTTAGGGTCTGAAGCTGTGGAGAGCCAATTCCAGTTAGCATGAACAAGAGTGATCTGGATGGTTTAGTGCTCTGACTCAGTAGAAGTGAGCTTCCCATATTTCCTACCTCTGTCTCTACATGCATGTGGTAGGGATGTAATGGGCATTTGTGCTTTTAAAAGGTGGTATGTTGTGTGCAGGTTTCCCTTGACTAAACTTTCAGAGATCACAGAAGCACAGACTTGTAGAGTTGGGAGTGATCATGAGGATCATCTAGTCCAACCCGCTGCAATGCAGGAATCTTTCACCCAACATGGGGCTCAAACTCACAAGCCTGAGATTAAGAGCCTCACGTTCTACCAACTGAGCTATCCCCTCCTGAGCTGTGTTGGGATAGCGTGCACTGCCTGAATATCCTCAAGCTTGTGCATGCACATCCTTGGTGTCTCAACTTGGCTTGGGCACAGAGAATGAGTATGGTGTCATGTTTTCTTCTGAATTGACGCTCTGCAATCAAAGTACTACTATGTGTGCTTTTAATGAAGCAAGAAAGAAAAAGCATGTAAGTAGTATGTTGGGTGTAGAGGAATTGGGGTTGTAATCACTTAAAGTTCCTGCTGTGGGTATGTAAGTATTTGTGATGCCTGTTTGTGAGGTGATACCTATAAGGCTTCTTGTTCCACTAACAATAGCCATAATCATAGCATAATGGGATGACCATGAGTTAACTGTCTATTGTAAATGTTTTCTTTCATTCCACCCACCCTAGGAGATGATCCTTCTGTGGTTGATAATGCAACGGGGGAAGTTTCCAGTTCTTACTACTTCCTCAAAGTAGACCCTTCTCTTCAGATCTTTCTATCACCTCTCAGTGCTGTTTTACATTTCAGACAAACAGCTAAATCAACAAATTCATCCAAGGAGGAGAACAAGAGCCTTTTAAATAGCTGGAATGGTTGCTAGGTTTCTGCTTTGTTGCGTGCCTTGCTTTTGGTCATATGCAAAGATGCATCTCTCCTGTGCTTCTGAGAAATAACATGCCACTAATTGCGGAGCAAACTTGCTACTACTCTCATTAATTCCTTCACAACTTAAAGAGAACAGAGCTATAGATAGCTGGTCTCCTAGCAACTGCTATGCAACCCTCTGTATTTATAATACCCAGTAACAGGTAACCATGATAAATTATCTTCTGTTGCCTTGTGGTGATAAAGGAGGTCTCTGTGGATTTTTTTTTCTTTACTCCTTTTTCTTGCATGCAGTATGTTCTCACTTTTCCCACACCTCTTAAAATATAATATTGCCTCACAACTTATACTGCCTCACAGACCTACCTTCATTTTAATTCATGTCTGTTGCTTGATTAATTTTTAATGCTGAATGAGCAAACTAGCCAAAGGCCCAATTCAGATATTATAAGCCAGGGCTGAAGAACCTCTGGCCCGCAAGCCTAATTAAGCCTGGAAGATTGGCCCACCAGGCCATTTTGATCAAATTACAGCCACTTTTGCCCCTTACCTGATTACATATATGATGTCAGGTATAGAAAACTTCAAGCCATGACTGAATTTCTTTTAAAAATCCTTGATGTGGTGTACAAAAACAGATCAACAGTAAAAGCTGTAGATTAATAAATATTGGCAGACCACAATAAAATCATTACAAACAAGTATGCCATCTTTGCAGTAGCAGCTGAAAATAATTGCTGCAGTTTTCTACAAATGTTTGCCACAAACCGCAAAAAGGATCATCCACCATAGTATTTTGATGTTGTTTTTAATCTTGGCTTGTATTTATAATTATTAGTGTTATATATTATTAGTGCTATGTTTTGTCCCTGCTTCCCTGGTGTTTGTCCTAGCAGGAGTATAGATTTGCTACCAATTTGTGATTTTTTGTACTTGTACTATTTGCTCACTTGTTTGTGAATAGTAATTAAATTTAAAGCCTCTTAAAAACAGAAGCCCAGGATAATTTGAACAGTATCTTAAAATTCAAATTTTTTAAATTAAATTAAAATTATTTCCCAAATACAGTGCTGGGCTCAGAGTATACCCTCTTCTTATGGTAAGGTTCCTATTTTTCAAATCAAAAACAAACACTGAAATTTTAGTCCTACAAAGGTGTCCAAAGGTTGTTTGAAAATAAGGTCTTTCAGGCACCAACAGCAAAAGGAAATGTTGAAAGAGCTTCATTGCTTACCTCTCCCCACCCCATGCATGTTTTCCTTTATAACTGGTAGCAGGGATGTCTTAAAAATATCCTAAATATGTTCAGCCCTAGAACCCATAAGAGTTTATGATATTAAGCATGTGAATATAGGTCGTTTTTTATTGTCTTCTGTTTTCCAGTGTTGTTTCACTCTGCTCTTAGGCTGAGATACCCCACCCCACCCCACCCGCCAAAAGTAGCAAAACAAAAATGAAATGTGTATGATTGATATAGGTCAAAGGAAGGCCTAATAGTTACTGGGCAAACTAGAACAGTTTTTTTTCATCAGGTGAAGATGAAATGCCTGTGTTTGGTAGGTAGAAAATGCAAACATTCCCATTTGAGAAATGTTCAGATTGGTTCTTCATTTATACAGAAAAGCATTATTTAAGTCTACATATTTGGTAGAGGCAATAGGAAGTATTTAACATTGCACCAAGTTGACTGTTTTGTCAGCGCAACCACTTCAGTTTGCCAGACTGAATGATGCCCCCTTCTCTTCTCCCTGTGTGTTCTCCTGATCCTTCCAGAATCAATTGTAGGGGGAGAAGAGAGGAGAAGCCCCATTGTGCAAGCAGAAGACCTTCAAAGGGCTTCCGCCAATGGGACTCATTAGGTAAATCCCGCCCATTGGTTCAATTTAGAGATTAACCTGTAGGGCTAACATTCTTATATCAAGATTACTTAATATTAGCTATTATTTAAGGGAAACTTAATATTTACAATTTTTAAAAAATCTGATGTAAATCAAAACATCATAAAAAAAATTTGAATGATTGATTTTTACACACCTGCACCCACATGCCATGAGTCATAGGAGCATGATCTTAGAAGCAAACAGGGTGTCTGCAGCACCAGGGAGCCTGTCTCTCCCTCTCCTCATTCCCGTACATATTGTTCCCCTCCTGCAGCCCTGACTGATTTATGAACTGCTGCAGCATTATCATTAATGACACTTCATTTAGACTGCTGCTGGGCACAGTAGCAGCATCTGCCATCGCGGTTCCAAATGTTCTCTTTGTATAAAGTGAGATATTAAAGTTGTTTCCTTCCGATACAGAATAAGAGATGAAATGTTTTCTTTTCAAGGAATAACCCTCTTATCTGTATCACGAGAGCCATCTGTTCAGGAAGGGAGCTGCAAGTGCCTAGAAGAAGTAAAGAGCAAGGATTAAAGCATAAGAAGAAGAAGAAAAAGCCATTCATGATATTTATTTATTCCTTGGCAGGAATCCATTGGGATTCACCAGAGGGAGGGAGGCTGAGCAGAGGGGATGTTCAGGTTAATAACTGCAGGAAGGATAACCAGTTCCAAATCTGACCTTTTGGTCAGAGTCCAAATATCTGTATTCTGTTGCATTATGTTCCTGAAGTCTATGTTTTGGTTTCTCCAGAAATCAGTCTTTGACGGGAGTTGTACTCAGTGTGCTTGTGATTCTTTTGAGCCGTCTCTTGGCAATGTATATGTGAGAGTGTGGGCGCATATGCTAGAAAGGCGAGATTTATATTCTGGCTGTACTGCATTGGATAATGATAACTAGATTATGTAAAAAGTGAGCATCATAATACCCTAGAATTATTAATGTGCTGGAAATCGGAACCCAGATAGCTAGGCCATTCTAAATTTTTCTTTAATCTCTCGTGAGGAAGAAAACGTTTTGTGCACTGAGTATTTCATAATGTATCTACTACATTCTCCCCTACCATGTTGCACATCCTAGTTATTAAGAAGAGTCTTAGATCGACTTGCATTTGCATACATTACAATTCGATAGAGGAAGATTTTCATAACATTACATAGCTTATCAGAAAAATGAGCGTTCAGATTGAAGTGGAAGCAAATAAGCAGCCAAATCCTGTGTGCAGAAAGTTCCGTGTTTATGGGGTTATATTTCTTTTTCTCCCTCTGGTAATATAAAGGCTGATGTGTGTTGAGAATTTTAAATCAAATAGATTTATGAATATTTTGCCCCTCTTTTGGTCCACATATCCTTGTGTTCAGGATAATGTGATGCAAATTAGATACCCCACATATCTTTTAACCTATTCATTTACTTGCACAATTATTCTGTGGCATAGGTTAAGCCATTCTTCCAAACCTGGTGCCCTTCAGGTTTTGTTGAACTACAGTTCCCATCATTCCTGACGGGATATCTTTGTTAGTAGCGCATGAGACAAAAGGGGAAGAGAAGAAATTACATACTTTTGCTACTTAGCCTTACTTAACTTTCTGGACTATTGCCTGACTCTTTTTTTGGACCAAAAAATGATGACTGGCCCTAATGTCATTTAAAATGTTCAAGGTTGGTATTGGCTAGTCAGTTATATTTTATTTATTTAGGATATTTATATATCCAGTTCACAATGGGCAGTTCACAAATTTAGAAGCAACACAATACAAAAATAAAATAGTGAATATTAAAAACTAACATGGGCATGAAGCAGATGAAGCTGCCATGAAGCAGATGAGAACAATAAAGACACGACTAAAGAGGGAAACAGCAGAGGGAAACAAAATAAATGGAAGAACTAAAAATCAGTAAAACTATAGGTGTTCCAAAGCCTAGGAAAATGAAAATGGCTTCACCTGGTACCAAAGAGATCCTCAAGCCCTTTTAGGGAGAACATTCCATAACTGGGGTGCCACCACCAAGAAGTCCCTTTTCCTGGTCATCACTGTCCTCACCTCACTAAGTGGGGTAATTTGAAAAGGGCCCTCTGATTTAGATGTTAATGGCCAGGCAAGTATATATTACCAGAAGCAATCCATTTGGAGCTTTATTATTTAATACCATCACTTGGAATTGGACCCAGGAATGGACTGGAAGTCAATGCAAATGATGATGGACTGGTGTGATATGCTGATATCTACTGTCGATAATCTTGCTATTTTGGGCTAGCGGACATTTCCAGACAAAGGCAACACCATGTATAATGCATTGCAGTAATCCATCTGGGGTGTTAATAGAGCATAGACAATTGTTGCAAGACTATCTGTTCAGATAGAATCATAGCTGGTATATCAGATGAAGTTGGTAAAGTACTCAATGTATTGTCTTGGCTTTAATATAAAATCCAAAAGATCAGCAGCTTTCTTCTCAATTCTCCGAAGTGCTCAAAGTTTGTCAGTTGTTACACAAATAATGAATACTGAAATGTACATATGCCCATGTTTTCTCTTTTGGCAGATTGGATAACAAAAGAGGATCTTGAGAATGTCCTGCAGAAGTTCACAGGCAGCATCATGCAAGTTCCCCCGATGTAAGTGCTTTGATAAATAGTTGAACGTCATCTTTGGGAAGCCTGCCTGCAAAATCTCATTTTGCTGGCAGTAGAAAGTGACCTCTGTAGAGCAGAAAGCTGGCAAGACAGGGCAGTCTGGAAAGAATTTATTAACTTGACAGAATTACAGCCAAGAGTGACATTGACTTGAACAGCGCATGCAAATAGCTCATGATGCTGTCTGTTATGACTGAATTTCAGGCCTTTGGTCATCACTGAAGCAAAGCTTTCCCTTGCCTTGAATATTTAAACCAAAATCAAATAGTATTGCTTAATGGGCAGTGTTGCATTTTAGGACACTTTTGTATACCAATAATAGGAAGTGTTCTCAGTGAAGGTAACAGTGCTTCTTGGAGGGACGCTTGAGGCAGTCCAGTCCAATTTACACAGTGATCATGCAGTCTTTGAAGTACCAAATACAATGCTTGGCATAGAAACTGTGGAAGTGCCACTTGTTCTTGGCAAATGCTCATTCCCTTATGGATCCCTGTGTCAGAATGTTAGGGTCACGTATGAACAGGATGGTGATAAAATGTATGATGAGGTGTCTTCATCAGAGATGAGCTAATTTCAGATTGGCAGGCATCTTCTCTTTTTTATTGAATGTTAATGGTTCAACTATGCCTATTAAATTCATAAAGGCAGACCTTGGTTCTGAGAATGTGAGAAGGGTCTTGCTAAATCAAATCAAGGTCTCCTAGTGCTGGACTTAGCAAGTTTCAGCCACCATCAATTATACCAGAAACTGAACAGTGGTCCACTGGTAGACCTTCTGCCCACCCCAGAGCGCTTTTTAAATGCATGACAGCAGGCAGTGAAACATATATCTATATTGTCAGGGAACTGCCATCGGCTCAGTGGCGAGGGATAGAGGGGGAGTTGTGTTACAGGGAGCCTCCGAAAATCTTGCGAAGCAGTTCCCCACCTCCAGTGGAGAAGAGGTGCAAGGACCAGAGGTTGCTAGAGAGAGCCTTAACACCGCGCCTGAGCAAGCCGGAGAGGAGGGAAGCACACCCCTGCCATCCTCAATCATGTGCAGTAGTTTGAGGCACAGGGAGAGGCGGAAAAGGCTTGGGGTGACGAAACTTTTATGTTGGGGGAGGTACAAAAACAGACCACTCCCGGATTCTGCTAGCGATTGAGCCAGACATGAACTTATGACGCTCTTCATTGTAAATAGTTTGCACCAAAATAAAGCCTATAAAAGACAGGTCGGAGTCCTGCCTGGTTACTCTCGAGCAACCGCAACAGCATCTGACGTGTGTGTGTGTATATGAGATTTATTATTTATTTATTCACCTGGACAGATGGTTCTCCTTAGCACTATTCTGGATTGAATCTGTTGTATTTGTTGTTTTGTAAACATCTTAAATATTTACTTGTATTGAGTGGTATATAAATATATGAAATAAAATGAAATAAATAAGAAATACCCTGTTGTATTCACTCTTTGATCAGCTATTGTGCCCTGAAGAGAGATGGACAGAGGTTGTCCACTCTGGTTAAGAAAGGAGAAGTTGTTGAAGCAAAGCCTGCCAGACAAGTTATGGTCTACAGTCTCACTCTTAGGAGTTTCAAGCCGCCATTCTTCACGCTTGGTAAGGATCCAATAATGCGGTGATAATTTAAAAATGTGAATCATGAGGCCTAGGCCAAACTAAGGAATTCTCCCATTGCCTTTTATTTTAAGTGCTGTATCAGTGAAATATAGACCACCTTTAGACAATTGAGTAACTTGGATGAACCACATGGCCATTATCTTAATGTGCTGAAGTCAACATTATTTTGACCTATGGATCTACAGTGCAACTATATACGTAGCAATGGACTATCAATGTGTACAGACTGAGAATCTCTGGGCCCTGTGTTTCAGAGAAAGACCATTAAGGACAGTAGTGATCTTCCTGCTGAGTCCCTTTTGCCAATAATCAGACAGGGATGTCAGCCATGACATGCTGTTCTCTTTTCTATCGAGTGTGATGAAAAGGCAGTGTAGGCTAAGCTGATGGACCCAGGAGATCACAGCTGCAAACACTACCCCACCCTGTATGAACTGGGGAAAACACTGATTGCTCAGCCTTTGGACACTTTGGTAACTTATGGGAGTGGTTGCAACATTGTTCAAAAGCGGAAGTAAACAACTTTGCACATTTTCAAAGTGTTAAGTAAGTGTCACTTGGTGAGGCTAACAGTTTGGGGCTATGTTTGACTTGCAGGTTAAGTGCTCTCCTCTTTTGCATAATATGCAAACCGTGTTTCAATGTACTATGTAATTTCAGTGGTTACGACTTACTGCTCGGGTGATTTGCAGCTCTTTATAGCGAGCAGATTTTAAACTGTCTTGGGTCTTCCTGGATATGTGTGATGTGCGTAGACTTTTAAAAGTTTGCTCAGTGCTTTAAAACATTCATAGATGCTTTTTGCTAGCACTTCAAATAATCTCCCCACCCTTCAAGCAACAATGGATAAATATATGACCTGACATGGTATCTTTCTTCTTCTTCTTCTCCTCCTCCTCCTCCTCCTTCTTCTCCAAATGAAGGCTCCGAAGTACTGAAATCCTGAAGCTGGTGCTGTAAAGTGAATGATTGTTAAGCCGGTGCATTTTATTCCTGTTTGCTTTCCGCTCTTCGCCAGCTTCACAATCTCACCCTCACATATGTTACAGGATGAATAATTTATATTATAACCCATAAATATTTTAATCACTCTATTGTTTGCTTAGTGCATTTTTACATTTCTATGTAAAGTAGATTTTTGTGCTATGCTGGCAATTTACCATGTCACCGTTACCATTCCAGATGTTGAATGTGGCGGCGGCTTTTATGTCAGAAGCTTGGTCAACGATATTGGCAAAGGTAGGCACAGACAAAGCACAATCGCTCGGGGAGCAAGTGTTCCTGTTAACAGAGGGCCAGATCAGCTGTCAGTATCTCTGGCTGCCAGATGTGCGCACTGGGCCTGCGGCACTGTTTGCCGTGGTTTGGACCTCTGTAGCACAAGATGAACCTGAGTGAATTGACTACAAAAGTGGTCCTTCGAGGGCAGCAGTAAAGTGGTTGGTTTGGCCATGGACTTATGAGAGAGGAGTAAGAACTCTCTTTTCCTGCAAGATAAACAGATGGGGGTGGAGAGGTAAGAAAGTTCCTGTTTTTAAAGGTTACGATGATAAATAATGCTTTGAAATCCGAATGCGCAAAGTTGCAAACATGATATAACCATCTGGATTTGCCCCTGTTGTTTATGATGACTTAATCAGCTTTTCCTCTGACCTGAGATGTGATCCCACAAAAGGAATTTTTATTTGGCTATACTTCACCCAGGGAGTAACATAATCATTGACAGGAGGATAAGTTCAGCCATTTTTAAACACTAAGCTCTTTTAGATTCTGCTCAGCATGAACAGAACATAATGGCTGTACACCAAGAATTATTGGTGCTCAACTTTCCTCCTTTGGCAGAGACCGAATTCAGTAAGCAGCCATCGGTGTGTAACAGGGTTTGAATGGCAACTGTGTAATATTAATACTCTGTAATGTGAACACTAGCTCTGTTTGGGGCAGCACTGCACATGGGAAGTCTCCTGCAGGCGCTTTTCATTTTTAAAGGAGTCTAGAAAGGTACTACATGTCATGTCAACAGCTTATTAAGGCATGCAGTTTGACCTTGTGTCAAAAATCTTATCATAAAATGTGTTTGTGCATTACTATTGTTGTTGTTAAAATTTGTTAGTCACTTTATCTTGCCCAAGGTAACCCAAAGCAACTTACAAAGAAACAAAAGCACATAGATACATTAAAACCAGGGGGGGGAGCAAAACAACAACATTACATCCCACCCACTTCTAAAAGGCCACTCACAGTTAGAGGCCAAAGGCCTGGTTATAGAGGGAAGTTTTTGTGTGGTGCCTAAGGAAAAATGATGGTGCCAGCCAGGCCTCCCTGAGAAGAGCATTCCACAAGTGGAGAGCCAGTGCAGGAAAGGCTTTTTCTCATGTTGCCACCCTCTGGACTTCTCATGGAGGGGACACACAAGGAAGGGCCCTAAATTATGAATGCAGGGTCTAGGTCGGTTCATACGAGAAGTGGTCCTTGAGGTATTGCAGTCCTGAGCCATTTATAGGTTTACAGGTCATCACTTTGAATTGGGCCCAAAAACTAATTGTCAGCCAGTGCATTCGGGCCAGGATCAGTGTAATATGCTCAAACCGTCTTGCTCTGGTAGCAACCTGGCCACTGAATTCTGCACCAGCTGAAGTTTCCAAACCATCTTCAGGTGCATCCCTATGTATAATGTGTTGCAGTAGGTAGGAAAAATCCATGCCAAACTTCTGAGCATCGGAATTTCCCCAGCGGACTCCCTAAAGATGAACTTACGCTCAGCTAAAAGCCTCATTGAGCAAAGATTAGCAGACATTGAAAATCAACACAACCTTGCCAGAGGTGGGGGTGTCTGCTCCCCCAGGTATCACGGAATAACCCCACCACTTGACCTTCCATCATACATGTCATCTCTTTCATCAGTACCACACCGACTTGCATTTATTCGTGCAAGGTTCAATGTCCTTCCATCGAACCTGCTGAGCCACAGATTTTCCAAGGGTTTGGTGTCTCCGCTATGCGTGTGTGACGGGAAAACTGTTGAATCTCTTCCACATATAATGTTCAACTGTCCCCTACATAGCATAGCCAGGACTAAATTCCTGGGCCCTGCTTTACTGCGCTTGGTTGGCAGGCCTGTTGAGTCACACGCCGCACTGCTTTTGCAGGATACAGATCCTTCTGTTACTCTGCAGGTGGCGAGATTCCTGAATGCGGTTATCTCACACGCAAAAACCACCAAAAAACAACAACAACATCAAAATCTAATCGGACAGTGTCAGGGGTTCAGGAGCAGAGGCGAGGGCAAGGGAGGAAACAGAGAGCGAGGGGGAGGAGTCCGAAGAAAGGATGAGTGATGACGACGACCCGAGATCTCCGAGTCTTTCCAGTGAATCGGAAGATTCACAGAAAGGAGCGCCAGTGGCCAGAGCAAAGGGGGGGCCTAGGGGGACACCCCAGGAGGAAGGGACCAGCGGGGGTTCAGAGGGCAGCAGTTGGAAATCGGGGCCAGCGTCCCCACCAGAGCGCAGTGGAGAGGAAGGACGTCAGGGATCGAGCCCTGGCAGCTCGCAGCAGGGAGGAGGGCATGAGTCAGGAGTGACCACACCCCCATCGGGGAGCGAAGAAACGGTCAAGCGGAAAGTGGAAGGCTGGGCGCGCGCGGCAAGTTCAAATGCACGGGAAGGCGGCGCAGTAAGCAGCCCGGAAAGGGAGCCAGGTCCTAAAGCCCGACGCAAGGAGACAGGAGGGTCCGGGGGGTCAGCGTCAGAGGAGTCCCGGAGGGAGGAGACCACGGGGGGCAGAGGGACCCAGAGAAGGACGGTCAGGCGGAAAAGGTGGAGTAAGGCGAGGATATTAAGTTGGTGTACGAGGGGCGGAGATTCAGACGGAGCTTCGCCGGTCTAGCCATAAGACGTAGAGTTGCACGCAGCAGCTTGGAAATGGAAACTGTAACTCAATAAAGACTTTTATAAAGCGAACGCTGGCTAGCGTGATCCTCTGTGAGCTGGGATCGGGGAGCAGCTCTGACAGACAGTTATGATGAGAGTGCATGTCGGATCTCGTCTTCAGTTTTCCTTTTTCTGTGAACCGTCCCTTGGAGCTCTCCGGGCCCCATCCTGTTATTTGGCTCTGCCCAATGACCCACCCTTGCATCGCAGTGTTCACCTTCTGTTGTCAGATATTTCGGTTTTTAAGCCTTTGTGCTTTTTTATGTTTGTACATATTTTATGGGCTAATAGCCGTAAATAAATAAATGAAAATAATGAATGAATGTGTTGCAGTAATGTAGTGGGGAAATGTACCCCCCCCAAATTGCATTTCCATGAGATGTGCGGCGTATTTGGATAATGAAATGTTTAATGGTTAATGTTTGTATAATGTGTCAAATGTTCAAAGTGCTTCAAGGTTCATTATCTAGTTGTTACCCTTACAACAACCCTGTAAGGCACATTAGTATTATCCCCTGCTATTGCTGAAGGGGGAACTGAGGTTGAGACAGAGTGGCTTGCCTAAGGCCACCTAGTGAGTTTATGGCTGAGGCGAGATTGAAACCAGGGACTTTCTGATTTGTAGCTCAGTTCCTTAGTCAGTACACGACACCAGATCTATCCATTTGGTATTTAAAGAATACATTGCCAAAGATGCACACTACGCGGTTTAAAAATACTCTGGGCTGTATCCAATGCCTTTAAAATAAATGATTATGACAAACATAGGTTCATTAATTCGAATGGATCTACTCTGAGTAGGACTGGTACAGGATACAACTCTATATTCTACCATAGTGGTGATGTTATAATATATATCCCATATTTCCCACTGGGGTGCTAGTTTCAAGTTCTGTAAAATATTGGTGTGCTGTTTGCAAGCTTGGCTTATGTTTTCTCCCTTTTGATGCTGCAGAGCTGTCCTCCTGTGCCACTGTGCTGGAATTGACCCGAACCAAACAGGGACCGTTTACCCTAGAAGAGCATATTCTTTATGAAGACAAATGGACCATTGATGAAGTTGCCCGGTCTCTGGAGTGTTGCATGCCTCTCCTCCAGGAAGAACCGCCTTGTAAAAAATTAAAGATGGAGCTGTCTGAAGAATGCGCCATGAACTCTGAAGATAAGTGATAAGTCAGGTCAAGGAAAAAGACTGAATGACTGAGATGTTTTAAGATTGCTCTGGGATTGTCTTGTCTTCCCCTGTAAATTTACAGTCCAGTGCGTGGAGGATGACAAATTACAATGCAATGAAAATGATACCTTTCTATCTCTTCTGTTCATGCTGAAGCATACAGACACACACAAAGATGCCCAGCATTTATTTCCTTTCATAATGTCCGTATTGTGTTGTGAACTTATTTGTCAAGGAAGCAGACTCATCACTACACCCTGTAAAAGACCTTGCAGGACACTTCTAAAATTTGAATTTGCTTCCATGTTCTTATTTGTTTGTTTGTTTGTTTGGGTACTTACATCTCACCTTTAAAAGCAAAGCCCCTTCAAAAAGCAAGTTACAATATTAAATTTGTATAAATACAGTTTAAAATAATAAAAAATAAATATAGCAGCAATACAGTAAAAACAGCCTAGAAGACTGTGGTTACATAAAGCCAATAGGGCCCTAAATTACCATACTGAGTACTGGTAATTAGGGAAAGTGTGCAGATGTACCTCTGGATTTAAAGATCCATACTTGTGCTTTTCAGTGTGTTTCTTCTTTTTGAAGAATTGACATGTATGCTGATACACTGCGGCTAGTTCTATAGCTAAGTTTTCTCTTTTTTCATTTCTCAGCACAGCTTACCTATAATTGCTCGAAAAGAATCTTATTATATACATCTCTTCTCTGCATTAATGCCTTGCTTTTTTTCCCTGATTCATTATTGTCCTTCCCAGTACTTTTGTGTGTGTAGACTATTTGTTTAAAGCTGTTGGAGTCATGAGATTCTTGGAACGGATGACAGCGGCAATGTCTAGGCTGCAGGCTGCAGGTGAAGTTGGCCTATCCAAATAAAGGTGATTCTTTCCAAAGAAAGGTGATTAACCAAACCATTTAAAACATATGACTTCTCCCCAAAAAAATCAGGGCACAGAGTGACAATTCCCAGCAACCCTTAACAACTACAGTGCACAGAATTTTAGATGGGCTGTGTGTGTGCTTCAAATGTGCTTTAAATACACAGTGTGTACACAATCTAAAAAGGACTCTGGGCAATAGCTAATACCTGAGCAGCAGCAACAAAGTGGATCTAGGAGCATACTTATGCTTCATCCCTTATCCACCAAGGACTGTGATTCTCTCCAGGGACCTTCCTCAGATCAAGCAGTATGCTCTCCTCCAGATGCCACCTTCTTTTGGGGGTGAGACAGGTGGCAACTGTGGAGAGGATCTTTGTGTCTATGGAATGTTCTGCTGAGGGATGTGGGCCCAGTTTCGGCTTTGATGTCACATTGGAGACCTTAATTCTGCCAAGACTTTAAAAACCATTACTGCACTGTTTAATCAGCTGTTATTTTTCACCTCTTGGGGGTATTGCCATATGAAATTTTAGACTGATAGTATTGTTGTGAGCTGCCTTGAAAGTGCAGGTGTGTTGAAGGTTGGGATACAATTTTTTATCTCTACACTGGAGCCTCTTCTTGCCTGTCTCTGAAATGTCTGTTTTGGGTCCCAGTCCTGCATCCTGTTTCAGAAAGTATTGGGTACAGTAATACCTCCGCGAACGTCCGCCTCCTCTAGCGTCCATTCTGGTGAATGTCCGCGGCAAACCCGGAAGTACCGGAATGGGTTACCTCTGGGTTTGCCGCTCGCACATGTGCAGAAGCGCTACATTGTGCTTCGCACATGCGCAGAAGCACAAACCGCTCTGCGCACGTGTACAGACGTGGCACTTTGCCCTGTGTCCTTTTCAGCTAGCGGCCGGGGCTCCGGAACAGATCCCGGTCGTGAAACAAGGTATGACTGTACTCTGCTGATCATAATTACGGGTTGGGTCCGAAGGTTCATTTCTACATGCAGCACATAGTTAACCTATGAAACTCATTCCTATAGGAGGCAGTGATGGCCACCAACCTAGATGGCTTTCCATGAGGAGTAGACCAATTTATGAAAGGACTATTGAAGGCTACTAGCCATGATGACTCTGCTCTGCTCTCACTGCTGAAGGCAATGCTTCTGAATTCCATTTGCTGGAAACTCAGGAGGGGAGAGTGCTCTTGTGCTCAAATCCTGCTTGCTGGTTTCCAAAAGGCAACCACTGTGAGAACAGCATGCTGTACTGAATGGACCATTGGCATGATCCAGCAGGCTCTTCTTATGTTCTTATAAGAACACCCCTCTTTTATAGGTAGAAGCACAAAAACTACTATAGTACCTACATACCAATTCACAAAGTATTCTGCATGCTGCTGTGAAACATAGCTTGTAGATATTTTCTATCTAGCTCATGGTCTTTGGATCCAACCGTACAATTGAAAGAGTATCTTCTTAAACCATGTGTGTACAACCTCCTTGCCTCTGCACACATGATGAAAAAGAAATGATGTTCCTGTTAATGTAATTATGATCAATAAGCACTTGCATAAATAGTTGCCTTACTTTGTTATAGGGTGGAAATGGATACTAAACTTTTTGCATATAGCTACTTCAGCTGTAACAGGTGAAATGGCCTCAAGTACCTTTTCCATCCTTGCAATTACCTTTAATTGGAGACGTGAATAAAAATGAGTGCTGCAGTGAAAAGAGTAAGTATATTTTTCCAAAGAAATATTCTCCAGGGCACATAGTATGAATGCTAATTATCTGACAGAACATGAACTCTTTTCTCAGGGAAAAAGAAGGCTTAGCCATAAAAAGAAGGTAATATGATTATATCAGCTGTTGGGGGGGGTGATTTTTGTCCTGCAATTTCTCCCCAGAAAGTACTAGACATTAAGTCCAAATTAGGTTTTAGGGAGTTATGTAGAATACCAACACATAGTAATGTTTGGGTGAAGTCATATGCAGCCCTGTTATTGATAGAGGATGTATCTTTTATAGTAATTTATGAACTCACCCACACCATCCTTACACTAACTGGAAATGAGCTGATCTATTTATAATTATTGTTAGTGTTTTAGCAGCCTCTATCCAGCTTAATACTATAGAAATAAACCTGAAAGTAGCTTACATGAAAAATTTCATACCGTACATAAAACACATCCACTATAATACAAAAATCAAAACTATTAGTAGTAGATTTAAAAAGTAAATCACAGGACTGCAGCACTAAACCAAACTTCTTTTTTAATAGCCATGTGTTGGCTTGACAACAATAAAACAATAAAATGTCAGGACCTGGGAAGCCTAGGATGACATTCCATGGAGTAGGCACCACTACTAAAAAGGCCCTGTACCTTGCAGTAAGGCCTCCAATGTTGAACAGAGTATAAGAGAAAAGTGGTTCTTTGAATACCCAGGTCCCAAGTTGTTTAGGACTTTAAAAATCAAAACAAGCAAAGGTTTTTTTTAAAGGTAAAATGCAAACCAGTTATTTTCTGAGCTAATCCAATGAGCTTTGGAAATGAACTCCTTCCTATCAGCTGTGGGAGTGTTCCCAACTCTTCTCTTTACTTAGCTGCAAGTGGAAAAGGTAGCAATATCAGCAGGAACTTTCTCCACAGTAGGCTGTGGACCTCAGCCAAGAAAGAGGTCTGCAACTCTGAAAAGATATCCATTGGGCTTCCTAAAAAAGTATACTGTCATGGTATCCAAAGATATCTTGCATGATTCACTGACAAACCCATGTAACACACCTGGAGCCCCATCCCAAATCCTGTCTTGGGCTTGTATGCCAGCCAGAGGACCTTGCTAGTGTGAATGTGGGGAGGGTGTTCTAATTGGAAAGAGGAAGGGCTCAGGTGTGCAGCAGATGAGTAGGAGTGGCCACCTGAGAAGAAATACTGTAAACCTTGCAGTCCCTCCTGGGTCTTTTCTGGGAATCAACACCTTATTGGATTCCTGTAGGCAACTCCAGCTCATCCTGCTCCCAGATATGGGGAACTGGTGACAGATAAGTCAACTCAAGGTAAGCAGAAAATTTCAGAAATGTCTTTGTTTGGGGACACATGAACTAGCCCTCAGCTGCAACTGTTCTAAGGCCTTGCCAGGTGCTCCACGATTAGTTCACTTGCCTCCCTGATTTAAAAAGCTTGCTTGTTCCCTGTTCACAAATTATTCCCAGATGATGTTCTTGATGGTGTACCCAAAATGCTGTATCATTAACTCTTGGTTTCCCTGTCTGTGAATGTGCATAAGATGGATATGGAATATGGGAAGGGCTCTTGCTTTAGTTCATTGAAAGGGTGGTTAGACTCGTCTGCATTTGGAACCTGTGTGTAATGGACTTGCTGGCACAAGCCTACAACTCCAGCTTTTTAATGTTGTGCTTACCAGGGACAAGCAGAGCTATGCTTCCTTGACTAACTGAAGAAAAACATGGCCTTAAATAAATTTTGAGTTGTGCTGTAGGGTTGAGGAACGCTGTCATTGTCTTACTGTCATGGTAAATCCAGCACAATGTCATTAGTTTGAGTGGAGTTACTTACGTGACTGAACATATCTTTAGTGCTCAGGGGTGTTCAGAATGTTTTGTTCTTTCCATTTTTATCCCACCCTTATTGCAAAGAGTTTATAGTTTCTTCCCCCTTTTATCCTCACAACAACCCTGGGAAGTAGGTTAGACTAAGGAAAGTGTAGCCAATGACATGCTCTCTGGATGTCATATTACTACAACTCCCATCATCCCTGATGGTGGAATAGGTTGGCTGAGACACAGCTGGAATCTTCAGAACTGAGCATTTCTTAAGAGAACATTGTGTTTCGTATTTGCATCGTAGCAAGTGAACCTGTGGAAGAAAAGCGGCATTCCTGCTGCAGTGTACATCAGATGTGCTTAACCTGTGGCCCTCCAGTCATCGTTGGACTACAACTTCCTTCATCCCTGAGCACTGGCTATGCTATACAGGGCTGTTGGTAGTCCAATGACCTCTCAGGAGCAACAGGTTCTTCATCCTTACTATATTTGGTAAATCAAACTCAACTGTCTGGGGTGATAGCTCAGCAGCATGTTGCATTCTTTGCATGCATAAGGTTGATCCATGACATCTCTTGTTAAAAGATTTCAAACAGCAGTGGCAGAAAATACCTCTGCTAGAGGCCATGAAAAGCTGTCGCTGCCAATAGCAGCAGATGACAATTTGCTTTGTGAACCAATGACCTGACTATGCTCTCTATTCACTTGTAGTTAAGACTACAGTAAAAACTTCACATTTTGGAGGAGTGGAATGCTGTGGCTGGTTTGGGCTTGCATGGTATTTGCTGAGTAAGCACCACTTGGCATGCTGCATGCATGATGAGTGCTTGCTTGAACTTTGCCTGACATCCAA